CAGAACAAAAAGAGCCTGCCTTATCTTCTTTGATGAAATCAATGCCATTGGAGGGGCCCGGTTTGATGATGGTGCTGGTGGTGACAATGAAGTGCAGAGAACCATGTTGGAGCTGATCAACCAGCTAGATGGCTTTGACCCTCGAGGGAACATCAAGGTGCTGATGGCCACTAACAGACCCAGTACTTTGGATCCGGCACTGATGAGGCCGGGGAGATTGGACAGAAAGATTGAATTCAGTTTACCTGATTTAGAGGGTCGGACTCATATCTTTAAGATTCATGCTCGTTCAATGAGTGTTGAAAGAGATATCCGATTTGAATTGCTAGCTCGACTGTGTCCAAATAGCACTGGCGCTGAAATTAGAAGTGTCTGCACAGAAGCGGGTATGTTTGCAATCCGAGCACGGCGAAAAATTGCAACTGAAAAGGATTTCTTAGAAGCTGTAAATAAGGTCATTAAGTCTTACGCCAAATTCAGTGCTACTCCTCGCTACATGACATACAACTAAGCTGCAAAGGCTTTCAAATGAAAACACTTCTAGTTTGGATCCTGAGCTTACATAGACTTGTCAACAACCACCTCACAGAAAAATAAATGTTCAATGTGAAAAAAAAAATTATACTCCTTAAGCAACAGCTCAGCTCCCTTCTAAATCCCTTGAAACTCCTTAGATCATTGAACATTTCAAAGCTTTCAATGATATACACACCCTGGTGCCATAGGTTTGCCACCACTGCCCTTAGCAAAGAGCCCTCGTGAGTATCCAGCAGAACTGTCCCCAGCCAGCAGGAGCTTTACTTCCTTGCCCTTGTATCTTTTACTTTCTTGCCCCTACCCCATCACCACAGGACGTGTCCTGGGTATTCCAGTGACAAACTCCAGGATCAGCTGTTGCCATCACGATATAAGTCTGACTTGCAGGCCTTGTCTTTGACCTCTCTCTCTCCTCATTCCTCTGTTCACTCATCAGGGTCTCCTGCCAGCAATCTTACCAATACTTCTCCATTCCAGATATTTTTTCCAATTTCCACTGCTATCAATTTCCCAGTGGAAGCTATGTAATGTCTCTTTCCCAGCTTTTTTCTCATCTGATCAATTTCCTAAATGATGGAGTCACCTTTCTTGAACATGAAGCTCTTTACCTGCCAGCCTAAAATATTATTTAATCCATTCTCATTGCTCTTGAGGGGTGAGAAAAACATTCTTGACATGGTCCATGTGTTCCTACTGACCTTTGAACAAGGGCTCACAACTACTTTCTATGACAGCAATCACACTAGCTGTATCCCATTCCTAGCCCTTCTGCTGCCCCACCTCAGTCTGATCCATCAGCAAAGTATTACTGGTTCTGCTTTTCATCAGAGCCTGCTGCACTCTCTTTTCCCTGCTTCTCCTTTTTCTCTTGCCCCATTCAATTGATTTTCAAAAGAATCATGAGCCAGAATGCTGGCTTGTAGTGTACATCAAATCATGCACCAGTTAGTAGCTACATTTTTTCATAGCTCACCACTGTAATTTGAAGACAACACAAAGTCCTCAACCTTAGCCACAGGGCCTGCTTGGTCTGGTTACTGATGACCTGGCCGTCCTCATCCTCTACCACCAGCCAGCTACCTCACTAGGTTGCAGTCACACTGCCCTGCCTTCTTCCTAACCCCTTCATGTCCCTACACCAAAGATTTTCTTACTCTTTTTTCTTCTAAATTTTATTTTAAAGAGTGAAAACAAAAGCAGAAACAGAGTACATACAACAATACATATGGTACAGAATTTCAAAAGAAGAATAGAAAATTGGATTCAGGTCCCAGCAGTGGCCGCAGTGCCTCTTGTCTTCATCTCTTTTTGCAGTCCTTCACTTCTGGAAACATCGCCTCTGGCGTGGATGTCTCTGAGGGAGTCATCAAGGTATTCAATGACATGAAGGTACCCAAGTCCTCAACACCAGAGGAAGTGAAGAAGTACAAGAAGGCAGTGCTTTTTTGCCTGAGTGAGGACAAGAAGAACATCATCCTGGAGGAGGGCAAGGAGATTCTGGTGGGGATGTGGGCCAGACTGTGGACGACCCCTATGCCACCTTTGTCAAGATGTTGCTGGACAAGGATTGTCACCATGCCCTCTATGATGCGACCTACAAGGCCAAAGAGAGCAAGGAGGATCTGGTATTTATCTTTTGGGCCCCTGAGCGTGCACCCCTTAAGAGCAAAATGATCTATGCCCGTTCCAAGGATGCCATCAAAAAGAAGCTGACAGGGATCAAGCAAGAAGAGATCAAGGACCGCTGCACACTGGCAGAGAGGCTGGGCGGCAGTACGTTCATCTCTTTGGAAGGCAAGCCTTTGTGAGCTCCTCCAGTCCCTGTCTGGAGCATGTGGCAGCCCTGGACCTGCCCTCAAGGGGTTGTAGGCTGCCCCCTTTCTGCCAGACTGGAGGGTCTGGGAGGATCCCAGCAGCAGGAGAGCAATCCTTTCACCCCAGTTGCCAAACAGCCGCCCTACCCCCTGGACCTTCCTCCGGCCTCCATCCCTGATGTTTCCTGCCTGCCGAACCTGCTTTTTTTTTTTTTTTTAAAGACGTTAAAGTATCTTTATTTACAGTGACCACATTTTATAAGCATTTTATATAGAGATAAAATTCAAGTGAAATAAAAATAATACTAGTGATCTCAATCTGATAAAAGCCATCTATGACAACTCAACAGTCAACATCATACTAAATGATAAAAAACTGAAAGCTTTCATTCCAAAATCAAGAAAAAGACGAAGAAGCCCACTGCCACCACTCCTACTCAGTATAGTTCTGGAAACAGTGGGCAGAGCAATTAGACATAAGAAAGAAATAAGAGGAATAAAGACAGGAAATGAAAAGTTAAATTATCATTATCTCTGGATGACATGGTACTCCACATAGAAGATCCCCAAAATTCCACCAAAAGACTTCTAGTTTTCATAATCAAATTTAAAAGCATAGCCAGATACAAAGTCAGCTCTGAAAAATCAATAGTATTCCTATGCACAAATAAAAACTCATTGAGATAATTTAGGGAATCTATGAAAAAAAATTAACTTATCAAAGGAAATAAAAGGTCTTTGAACCTGCTTTTGATCTTCTAATTCCTATTGGGTTGAAACAGACCAAGTTCCCCTCAGGCAACCAGCTTGGGGGGGGGGGACACTTGTATTTTTTGTTAACAATATCCACACTCCCCACCTATTTCTCCCCGCTCCCATGCTGCCAACTTCTATCGGAAATAATGACTCTGTGCTTGTCCATTTAGTTCTGTGTATAAATGGAATGTTGTGGAGATGACCCTTCCCTGTGCCGGCTGGCTAACTCCGCCCCCCTTTTCCCTGGTCGAGGCCACTCATGGAAGCAGGACCAGTAAGGGAGGGACCTTTGATTTAAAAAAAAAAAAAAAAAAAAGGCAACAATTTAAAAACTCAAAAAAAGGACTGGCCAGATAGTTCAGCGGACTAAAGTGCCTGCTTAGGCAAAGCTCAGAGGCCAGAATTTGATCCTCAGCATACCGTGCTAGCCCTGCCCCCAGGGCGTGCTGAGACAGGGAATGAGACTGAGCATGGTGCCCTTCGCCTGTAATCCCAGAGCGTGAGAGGCTGAAAACAAGAGGATCACTATGAGTCCGATCTGTAGAAAATTAACAACAGTTGTTATATTACATATTTTTATCAACAAATCTATTGCACAGATTACCAGATTCAGATATGCAAGATCTGTCAAATAAACATTAATTCTTCCTTTCAATATAGCTTAATTTCTCTTGTCCATTTTAATTTTTATTTTTAATGTATTTTAAAGAGAGTATAATAATAATTGATACCACTGGAAATGGTACACACTTAGAAGAACAAGATGTGACGTGTTCAACCATGGCTTTTGTATTGCACATTGAACTGGGGATTGAACTCAAGCCCTTGCGCTTGCCAGGTAAGTGCTTATCCTACTGAGCTATCTCTCCCCACCCCTCTTTCTTCTTGAGGAACACTTTGTCAAGCTTTTTGCCCAGGCTTTTCCAAGGGTTGTGCTCAGACCACACTTTGCCTCTTCCAAGAAAGCCACTCTCTATTCCGCTGCTCGCTTTGCCCGCTGAAGGTTCATCCTTCTTGAGGCTTTCTTCTCTCTCGAATCAGGGCCACAGCTTCCCACCAACTTCTCTTTTTTTTTCTCCTTTTCATCCGTACCCTGGCTGCTCTAGACGCACCGGTTTCCTTGCTGCTCCCTCTAAACCTCAAGAGCGCTCCCAACTCCGGCCCTTTGAAAGTCTTGATCTTCCGCCGGGAACCTTTACCAGCAAAAGTCCAACCTTAAGGAATCCCTCAGCTCACTTAGGTCTGGTTCTGTGTGGCTAATTACTAGACAGTTCCTTCTCCGTGGGAACACGCTCATCACTCTGTATCTTTCACCTTTTAATTCTATCAAAACGCATTCCTCGACTTGCTATTAATTTACTGTCTGTTCTCTACCATCTAAAAAGCACCACCTACTGTAGGAGGAATTGTTTTCTTCACCCCTGTTTGCATTAATATGTAATTTCTCCTTGAAAGAATGAACTGTCTAGAATTATCTTATTAATGTATGAGTCTCATCTATGTCTGCAGGTCTCTGCCGCCTTTCCCCACACGCAAGCCTATATAGATACAGCTGTCTAGGGGAAGAGGAGCCTAGTTCAACCTTATTTACCAGCCGGAACCTACTTTGCTTCTGCGTTTTCAGGCCTCCCGCCCCTGCCACCTTCTCCCTGGAGAGGCTACTCCCTGAGTCTTTCCAACTGGTCCTTCGCTAGGGCACATCGCGGGGCCAGGGGGCGCCTTGCCGCCTACCTCACCCCTTCCCACAGTAGGGACCAGGCGGTGGTGGTCGCACGTGGGGAAAGCCCCCCGGGCGCCCTCTCCGCCCCGCCCGCTCCCCGGGCCTCTTCCCCAGGGGCCTGCGCCCCGCGGGCAGGAAGCTTGCGCAACCGCCAGAAAGAGGAAGCGCCGCGAAGGCTGAGGCAAACGTTTAAGAAGAGCCTTGCAAAATACAGCGGCCTCTCCAAGTCGCCGAGCTGCTCCTGGGCCCCGGGCGCCGAGACCGCCGGACGAGCGCAGAGAGCGGAGCGCGGGAAAGCAGGCGCGGGCTCCGCCGCGGGGGAAAGGCGCGCTCGGACGGCGCAGAGGAGGAGAGCGTGGGAGAGGCGCAGGGCGCCGGCGCGCCGCAGGCCCGGCCGCCCACCCAGGGCCCCCCGTGTGCCCCCGAACCCCGCGCCGCGTGGAGCGGGTGACCCCACAGCCTCTTCCTGCTCCCTGCAGCACCGGACCGCGCGAGCGCCCAGCAGAGCCGTCGAGGTAAGCGGCGCCCAGGCGGGAGCCCGAGCCCCAGCGCGACCCCTCCGGCGGTCGCGACCACGTGTGCGGCTCCGGCCGAGCCCGCGCGCCCCCTGTCGACCCCGCGTGGGGCTTGAGCTCGTCGCGCCCTCCGAGTTCTGCCCCGGGTTTCCTGCCGGGTGGAGCAGGTCCCACTGGAAGCCGCCTGGCCTGTCCGGAGGCCCCCGGCAGAATTTCAGGGCCCTGCGAGGTTGAGGGCAGTGGTGGGAGAATTTGACGTCTGACGGCGCTTCCTTCCTTTAAAACTTTCAGACCGCTGCTTCTTCTTTTTAAAAATAACATTTCCTCCCAAATTTTCTCCTGTTCATTTTAAAGTGTGAGTAAGATAAATCTGGACACTGGACACAAATACTGTAATTTGGCTTAGGCAGGAAGCCTTGCATAGCATGAACGACACTGACCAGGGTGACCTTGCGTATACCTGTGGGAGTCTGGATCCAGGGTCCAGCTGTAAACCCCATTCTGGGTCCCTCAGTGTGTCTCTGTGAAAGCCTGATGTGGTGTTTCCTAGAACAACGCAAGGATCTGCGGTTCAAAAAGACCTTTTAATGAGATGGTTAGACAGCGGTAATCCTGGAGTAATACGAAAGTTACACAGAGAAAAGGCACGCGTGTACTGCAGCACAAGATACGATTTCTGATGGTGTGCGGCAATTTAATCAAAGGCAGGGTACTTTATGCTTTTTCAAATCTCGGACTCCAAATGGAAATTTTAGAAAGGAAACCTTGGGAACAAACGCAGAGAGCTGTTCTGCCTGGATGGCACCAATGTGCAGCGGGGGCACATGGCTTCGCAGCAGCCGGCTCCCAGCCGAGGCCCTGCACAGAAATCTCCTTACTGGCTTCCGGGGGTGCTTCCTGTCTGCGCCTTCCTTATGGAAAGGTCAGACTTCATGTCATCCTCACACTGTTAACACTTACGCATTTTTACACCTTTAACTAAGATTTGTGTCTTTTCTGGGAATCTGAGAGGTTTTTGTTCTACTTCCAAGTCTGCCACTGACTAGGCAAGGATGACCTTGATTAAGTTGCTAACATCTCTGGACCCTGGAAATTTGTTGGTAAGGTGAGAGTGTTGGACTTCTTAGGCAATAATGGAGAGATAACAAGAGGTGACCAGAGTTGGGTGTGGTAAGTCAGTGCCAGAGTATTTGCCTGGCATGTAAAGGGCTGTGTGTTCAATTCTAAACTCCCATGCACACACACACACACGCACGCATGCACAGGTAACAGATATTCTTAAATTCGGAAAATAAAAACAATTTTGAATGCTTTAAGGCATTTCCCCCATTGGTTTTTTTGTTTGTTTGGTTTGCTTTGCTTTCTTTTCTTTTCTTTCTTTCTTTTTTTTTTTTCCAGCCGAACCCAGGATTGAACTCAGGCCCTTGCAAGCAGGCAAGCACTTATTCTGTCAAACTATCTCCCCTGCCCGGGCCTAGCTATGTAGCCCAGGCTAGCCTTGAACTCACAATGATCCTCTTGCCTCAGTCTTCCAAGTGCTGGGATTACAGGCCTTGGCTACCACCAGTGTGCAGCTGAGGGCTTTTGTTTCAGAGAAGTTCCTTTTAAAACAGTCACTTATATATTTCCCATCTATAAAGAGGATAGCAGGGCTGAGGAGATAGCTCAGTAGAATAAGTGCTTGCCTGGCAAGTGCAAGGGCCTCAGTTGAATCATCAGTTCCGCAAAAAAAAAAAAAAAAAAAAAAAAAAGAAAGCACACAAAAGGAGGATAGCAACTTGAAAATAGAGATAGCTCATGTGTTGTAGTGCATAATTGCTTCCTTGGTACTTTTAAAAGAAATCTATTACTTTAAATCTTACACATAATACTTGCCAGGCTATATAGCACCCATTAAGTACGTTGTACTTTTATATCCTGAAAATGTACATTAGTTTCCCACTACGTGTTTTGCTTAATGTCACTCATAATTTAAAAGTTCTAGATATTTCCATATTATTATGATAAGCTCTTTATAAAGTTGATTGTTGTAAATGTCTATGCTTGATGTTCTACCTTGAATTTTCATTAAACCTTTTAACAAGCATTATTATTTTCACTTTCTTCAAATCCCTTTCCCTTTTTACTTATTTTTATACCTAGTCTTCTAATGAACCCCCAAATTTTAGAATAAGTTAGTCCATAAGACAGAGATTTTTGGGGGTCGGGGAGATGGCTCAATAGAATAAGTGCTTCCCTGGCAAGCGCAAGGGCCTGAGTTCAACCCCCAGTTCCGCAAAAAAGAAAGAAAAGAAAAGAAACTGAGATTTTTAGCTTTCTGGCACATCATGAATTTGTTGTATAGGCAGTAGAATCGTTCTAAGAATTCACAAAATAGGAAAATGTAAAACCAAACAATAATTCTTATTAACACAATTATATTTTTGGTATGAAAATTTATGTTTGTCTGTCTAGGGAAGTAAGGGAAGGTGTGGGCCCCCACACCAGTGTAGGAGGCTGCACCATGCAAATCTGGCAGGGCAGGACCCGGCGATGCCATCTAGGACTTAGAGGATGGCATTCCCAGCACATTCCCCTGGCCTCACCACATCTAAGTGTGCCATCATTAGGACTCACTTCAGTGTCACTTCTGGTGGGTCTCATCCATATAGCTCAGCCCCCAGGATCCAACTGAAGCGCAGGACACAGGTGACACAACTAGAGCGCCCCACCTTCTGAGCCTGTCCTGCAGCTTGAATTCAGGCCACTTTTCCAAAGACTTCTTGAGCGCAGACTGTAAACTTGATCATCATGGTGTTTATTATAGGACTTTTCTTTCTTCTCCTTAACTAATCTTTGTTTACCATACAGTAATAGTAACTCATTATTGTTACAATATCTCTTCAGCCTATAAAGATTCAGTACTTTTATCCAAAATGCTTGGGACTTGAAATGTTTTGGATTTTGGTGTGTGTGTGTGTGTGTGTGTGTGTGTGTGTGTGTGTGTTTTCAGGCTTTGGTATAATTACACACAGATACATAATGAGATACATGGAGTGGGTACCCAAAGAGGCACCCAAGTCTAAACACAGAATTTGCTTATGTTTCATATATACTTTAAACACATTAACTGAGGGTAATTTTGTAGAATATTTCAACAGTTTTGTGAATGAAGCAAAGTTAGCATATGTAGTTAAGAGCACCAGATGGGTCTTGCTTCCACTAGGAATGCTCAATGAACTGTGCTGTGTGTCTGTGTTTTAACTTATGGAACCCATAACTCGGGTGTTGAATTTACCATTTATGGTGTAATGCTGGCACTCAAAAATGTTTCAGATTAAGTAATACTTTGGATTGGGAGGTTCTAGGCTATGGATTCTCAGCCTATATTGCATACCAGATGTTGTGCTATGTAATTTAGCTGTGTAGTTTCATTGAGCCTCACTTCTCGGTTTATACTATTATTATTGCCCTTTCATCACTGAGGAAATGAAAGCACAGAAAGGTTAAAAACTTACTGAGGTGGTTAATAGAGCTGAAGTTGGAATCGGGCCAGTCTGATAGGAGGATCCGAGTGCTATACCAGGGGCTATATCAAACAAGGAGTTTACAGCTGGGGAGTTGGGGCACTCAGCAGTTACAATTCTATGTAGGACTAGAATACTGATGGGGCACATCAACACCTCCAGGTCCCTACACCCCCTCTAGGTCAGGAAAGGAAGATAAACAGAAGGTAATCAAGCAAAAAATTGGCTTGCTACAGAGGACAAGATAGAATCAGCAGTGTGAACAGTGTTACCTTTATATGGGCCTTTTGAGAAATATAATTTACTTTGGCCAGAAGAAAACCCTGTTTTCATTTTTATCTTTATTCTAATCTGTTGTGACAAGCTCTGAGGTTGGTTAAATCAACAAAGTAGTAGGTCTTCATTTTTTTTCTAACTGCGATGACAATTTTTCTGATTGGGGCTCCAGTCACAGGTTCACCTGTGAGTCAGCTGTGGGCTGGGAGAGTGTGGTCAGTGTCTCCTTGCACAGCAAGTGTGTTTCCACAAACTGGCCAGAAGATTTATATCTACAGAGCTACAGCATATAAAACTGGAGAGAAGCCAAAAGTGATGATAAGCAAGAAAACTATGAGATTTATCTTTCCTCCACTTTTTATTTATTTATTTATTTATTTATTTATTTGTGTGTGTGTGTGTGGCCAGCTCAGCCCACCAGGGGGCAGGCTGGCTGGCATGTGGTGCTGGGGGATTGAACCGTGGTCCCTGTGCTTTGCTAAGCTTGTTCTAAGTAGGTGCTTTAGACCACTAAGCCATCTCACCAGCCCTCCTCCACTTTTATTAAGAAACATTTTACATATAGAAAAGATGATGTATGATAGATATAAGTAATGATATAATCAGTTACAATAAATAACAGTAAAACCAATCTAAGTACCCGTTACCCAACGTAAGTGGGATATTACCAACATATCATGTGGTCATCTAGGAACATTCCTCTATTTGCACTCTAAAGGTAATTACTTCTAAAAATTCTAATTTCTAACTTAGTAAATATACCCACATGTTTGCAAACAGATGACCTCAGGCTGGAGATTAGAGGACATTGCCACTTGAAAACTGGATTAAGGTCCTCACTGACTCTAGGTGTGGTCACAGAGTGTGCTAATTTAATTTAGCATAAATACAAGTATATTAGAAACAGTTAAGAGTAAGTGCCACAGAGATAGTAAGAGTAAGTATATGAGAGAATATGATTTAGAAACTGCCAACTTCTCATTCTACTTAGATTTGTACTTCAAATATGACTAAATCATTTCAATCAAAAATTCTAGCTGTTTGTAGTTCAACTATCTGAAGTAAAAATATTTCCACTTAAAAGACAAGTCAATCATTTCCCATCAGAAAATTTTGCTAAGCATCAGTCTAGGTGCTTTGGATCCATCAGTGATAAATAAGGAAATGGTGTGGGTATTGGGAAGTGAAAAACGCTGTAGAAGAGACAAAGTTGAGCAA